TTGTGAAATATTGTGAATTGATTGAAGTGAGAATTACATGTGCATGTAGCTGAAGAAGTCTTTTCTTTGCTACCTAAGGCGAAAAATACTAGCAATTTGAATCGAGCGCTTGCTTTAGGAATGCAAATTTTTAGATTTTTGGGTCCTTTTTTTGCAGCTCTTTGTTGTCCTTGGTCGTTTTCCGGGCAGCTGCATTTATTTATTTTAATGAATCTGTCAATGGCTTTTCTCGAAGTTATTAATGTTGGGATTTTTTTTTATTAAGTAATGGGCAAAATGATGCAAAACGACTTGAAAAACTTTTTTTTGCAAACCAAACTTTAGTTTTTAGATTTTCCAGTAGTATATAAAACTCGACATGGATCCAGTTTCTCCAAAATAATTCGCTCTTATCAAAAAAAGGTGAACCATACGTTAAGACTTTTAAAAATGATTTCTGAAAATTGAGGAAATTTCACCTGATTTTATTTTTTCTTGGATACTCGGAAGTTAAAAAATATTCAAATTTGGTTATCATATTTATTATATTTATGGCTTGCATTGTTATTTCACACTTCTTTTACATTTTTGCTGTTTTTTGTTCAACAAAAAATTTCCTATTAAGATATAAAACAGTTTTTAAAATAGCTTAATAATACTTGAAGTGAAAAATTATCTTATTTTTTGCGTTTTTCATCAATTTTCATGCTCCTAATGGAATTTAAATTTAAGTAGCTGTTGATAGACTAGTAAGAGATTCAGATTTCAGGCGGATTTTTTAACTCAGCAAAATTCAACCTCTTTCCTCAGAAGAGCGAATATTGCGCCATTTTTTAACTACAAGCAGTTTTCTGTTGTATCTTCATTTTTCCCGTTTTTGAAGAATAACAAAAAGCTTTCACTAGCTACTGTTTTTCTAATATTTATGAAAAGCCTGAAAATGTCTATAGTGCGGCAAATTGATTTGCACAATAAACCACTTCGATTTGAATAACCGCAAGCTGAAGGGCTTAAAATTTTTTCGTTTAAAATAAACAAATTTTTTGTAAGGATCATCAAATTTTTTCAAAATCAGAAGCCTTATTTCATTACAAGGACTTTATATTCACTGGGTAGACCCATAATTTAGTGTATCTAGTTCTCTGGAATCCAATGACAAATCTCAGAACTTGTTAAAATTTTGTCGCAACGCTCAAAGAAAATGAATGAGGGAAAGAAGAACAAAGGGAGTGTCCTTATTGCGCAATCCATTTAAAATTAATTATTTGGCCTCTTATTGCGTTGGTTTGCCAACAGCTCAAAATATATCTCGTTGTCATTTTTACCTATCATAATGAGGCGACCGTATCCACGCTAGCAATTCTATTATGTTGATAAGCTGCACAAGGGCTTAAAAGCGCTACTGATGCTTCACGCATTTAGTATTTTATTTCATGAAGACTTTCAATATGTTGTAATTTTAGTGGTTAGAAAAGTTTGTTTGATACTTGAAACGTGATCATTTGACATTGTTACTCCTTAGTGGTTTTGGTTTGATTGCTCTTTTCCAGTCTTATCGATGTTTCATTTTTTCTCAAAATTGAGTGTGAAGGGCCTGCTTAATGTGATACTAATTTGAATTAACAAATTCACATTAAATAGGTTTTTCTCACTCATTTAAAAAATATCAACGAGCAAGGGGCTGCAAAAGAGCAATCAAATAAAAAACCACCAAAGAGTAACAATATCAAATAATCAAGTTTTGAGTATAGGTTGCCATTTTACCCATTTGCCAGTTTTTACTCATTCTAATTGCAATTTTTCTCTTGGAGATAGTTTTTGTGTTTATTCGCCTGGTCTTGGTAAATATCTGCAGCTTATTTGAAAAAATTGTAAATAGTGTACCAAGCAATCTATATTCTTGGTTAATTCGGTGGAACTCCGAACTAATTATATCCCCCGGGTACCAAGTGAGGAATATTCTGTACAAAGAATTAGATCAACAGTTAAGCATATCAGAGTTTTGCGAAAACGGGAATATAGTTTGAGAGACCCAGTTCAGCTTATTTGTAATAATCGACTTAAATTTCTGATCAAAAAATTTAGAGATAATGCTGAATTTTGATTGGCTGAATAATTCTAACCCAAAAAAAATTTTTGGCGCAAAAAGTCAACCAAAAAACTGCGATTGTTTACTTTCCACAATTGTTCCAGCGATTCTAAAATTACTAATACCATTTCCTACTCTTAATTGGTGTTTTTCAGAATACAAAAAATCATTTATTTTGCCTCAAACAATTAGGAGAATAAATAGGCTGCTCGTATCAGGGCAAAACACTGAATATTCTGAAGGTGTTTTATGTTCCATGGAGTAATATTTTAAAAATAACTGATGAAATTTTTGTAAAAAAAACTAAAATATTTATTTTTTTTTCAGTGAAAATCATCCCCTCGCGCTATAAAAATCATTCCCCAGCCTGTTTTCCTAATAAATCCTCCACACGCTTTTTAAAGTACGAAGTGATTTATTTTGATAAAGCAACTTGCAAAGTATTAAACAGATCACAGAGCATGCCTCAATTCAGTTTGAAACAATTTTTAATACAGATTAAATCTCCGCTCACGCGTTAATAACATGAAAATCATTGCGTGCTTATTGTCCCAAATTGGCCAAATTGTCAATTTTTAAACCCTTATAGCTTTACAAAAAATCATCACAGTTGGATATCAGTTTAATTTTAAGCTCAGGGCAACACTATATTTCAAATGACATAAGAGTTTTGTCAAAAACTGCTAGTTGAAAAATTGAAATCTTTCAGGAGAAAAAAATCAATCCGAGCACAAAATTTCCTTCATTTTCTTTAAACGTTGGAACGAAAAAAAAACAATTACATTCAGAGAAAGAAAAAGAAAGAGAGAGAGAGAGAAAAAGATAGAGAGAAAGAGACAGAGCGAGAGAGAGAGATGAAGATTTCTTTTAGTATCGATTTATGGAGAAGACGGAATATTCAAAGAAAAAACTGATAAAGACAGCTTTTTTCCAAGTTCTCTGAAGCACTATTAACTGGGCAAAACAAGCTTTCCAGTTTTTAGATCTCAGAAGGAGACGTTTAGAAAACATAGTATTACGATTTTGTCTCCAACGCCATGTGCGAGCATTCCGTCTCTTCTGTTGTTTAGTCCTATTTGAAATTGCCTATATGGGCTGAACAATTATCGCGAATCCGTCGGCGGAGGTTTTTGCGTATCGTCGGCGGAGGTTTCGGCGCTTTTTCCTTTCCAATCCACCTTGCATGAGCGTGAACTTTATGATGTAATGAGCACTCTTACATTATTAATCATCAGCACCAAATTAAAAGATTTTCCACGTTTTCTTGCCATTTTTGTTTTAATATATTGTTGTAAAGTTAGCGGTTGTAAGATTAGTGTTGAACTTTTGTATGTATGAACATAAACATGTTACCTATTTTACGAATGGTTTTTACGTAATCAGGTAGTTGGTTCTCTTACCATGAATTAAGTGGAATATTTTTAGATTGGAGTTTTCAGAAAACATTTTAGCTTATAATTATTTGAATCAAAGACATTTTTGCAGCCGCCTTTTGAAGTTGCGGTGTCGGTGTGATAAAATAAAAGGTTCATCTAAAATTTATTTTTTATAATTACTCCATTTTCGATTATTTGCTTTCACCAATTTCCGTGAGATCAACCATGCTTCATATGGTGGGGAGTTTAAGTGGTAATGGTAATTGTAAACGGTTGCCCACCCCTTTAAATCTTTCAGTCAAACAAAAACCATCAAGCATGCATCAAATTTTTATAAACTATGGTAGAAAGCGAAAATTGCAAGAAAAAAGAAATTTGCAAGAAGGCGGAAATGAACGTTGTGTTAGAAGTAATTTTATACAGAGATAAAAAAAAAACTAGAGTATGATTCTCAAAAATAGCTTTCTTAAGAATATATCGAAAAATTTGTTTTCAAAGAACTCAAGTGCTTGCGCTCGAGATTTTGTTCTAATAAAGAGTGAATTTAGGATGGGGATGAGAATCTCAAACATTTTACTTTTCCCCACGTTTGGCGGAAAAATCATTGATCCGCCCCTGCTCCTAAAATTATATATATACTTTTAATTTGTTAACATAATGACAAACTTGAGTTCGATTTCAAAATGCATTCAAACTTGTGTATAGGCTGTGTGCATGTGCTTGTGTGGGGGTGTGTGCGAGAGAGAGAGCTGGACTCTGGGGGGGGGGGGGGGGGGGTGATTGCAACTAATCCCAAAATAGCTATTTCCAATTGTCTTGTTTTTCCCTCATGAATAACTTGGGAGCAGAAAGTGCCAAAGGCAGCTTATTCATAGTACCAGCACACTGTCACTTCAATCTTAATTGACAAGTTTCTTTTGTGTTTCTGATTTCTAAAGGGCACTTTTACTCAAGATTTGTCATTTGAAATAATTTACAGAGGCTAGAGATTTCTGCAATATAGATTTTTTGTACTTTTTTCTCCTATTATTCTCTTCATATTCAGTTATTGCTTGATTGGGCTAATTTTAGAAGAAACAAAGCTAGCATGGCAGATGTCAGATTTTTTTCTGATGGCTATCAAAATCGGAAGTGCATTAAAAACTGTCCTATGATCAATACAGAAATTAACTTTGAGATTTCTCGCGCATTTTGATCAGAAACTTTTTTTGTTCATGAAAACCAGCAAACTGAGTTCTTCAGGCTAAAAATTTGTTTCACAGGCACCACGAACAGGGTGGTCAGCAAATTGGTTATGACTGAAAACAAAAGCTTTTTTGCCTGATGTGATACACCAGTAGAAAGCTATTTTTTGTTAGTTTTGTGCTTTTCAAACTCGTTGGTGTTTTGGAAAAAACTAGCGTGCGTTCTATCATTAAAGATGTAAAATTAAGAAAGTTAGAAAAAAATAAATAACTGCTTACGCGGCGATAACCGGCCGTAGGTTTAGTATAAAACCATTTCCTAAAGCATTCGACAACTTTTGACAAAAACTGGAAAAAAAATGAATGTTTCAGGTGACTTTTTGGAGTCATTTATTAGATGTCAAATTCATACCCTCCGTTCTGGGCGCTCTCCAAGATGCCCAGTTGACAGGGCTTTCTTCTTCTTCTTCTTTGGATGGAGGAGAGAAAGCATTTGTGAACGGCTTCGCAGTGTCGAGGGGCTCGCTTGAGCAGACTTGTTGTGACGTGGAACCCCCCACAGATGTGACTTTCAGAACAGGTCAAGGCTTCCTATCGCTGCCCAAATGGAGGTCACCGACCGATGGCACTTTGTCCTTCAGTTTCAGGTCAGCATGTCATATAATGTCATCTGCCAAAATAACAAAAATGCTTCTCAGATCTTTTTGTTCAAGCAGAAAACAGGTTATTTGTGATAAAGTGTTGGTCATACATATCTATACATAAATATTCAAAAATATCAGTTTTTTCATAAGCTCCATACTTGGTTTTGTATGGCGTACATTTTTCTACGGAAATAAAACCGGGTAACTTTTCTATTTTAAAGAGTTTTTAGTTTGTAAAGCAAAAAGATCATATTCTGTTAGATTACATTAGCCTCAGGTTATAGAATTTAGATATGATCTGTAATCTTGTCAATTTGGTTCGACTGATACAGGGCGGATTTAGGATTTGGATTTAGGATGCGAAGAGGAGTTTTTGAAGGCTGTGGATCTACAAAAGTTCAAAGTTCTGTCAACTTTTTTTAATATATAATGTTTTCGATTTTCTGAGCCCTAAAAATCACTAGAAAGATCCAGTTTTTGGTCTAACTTTAAGCAGGCAATTTTTCAGCACTCAAAATGGAAAAAAAATTGATACGGTTCTCCAGAAAAAATTGGATACAGTAAGAATTCCTCGGAGAAGGCGCAGGGTGGATTGGGATATCCTGTAAAACTAACTTGGAAAATTGTTATTCTTAAACCGGTGCGGGCAATTACATACATCGAGTCTAAGAAACGACAGTTTTATAATAATCCCTCTTACATAAATCTCTAACAGTCGTTTAAAAGTTCTCTGTGTAAACTATTTTAAAAGCTTGAAATTAATCTACAAATTTTTTTTGTCGAAAAAAATGTTTTTTAGAGAGAGAGAGAGGGGACACTTTATTGTTTCAATATACTTATGCAGTTGCAGAACTGATTGTATAAGAATCTAGTGTACAATATTACGCAATGGTTATATAACATAACAAGAAAAAACATAAAATACTACGAGGTTGAATCAAATAATTGATTTAACAAAATAAATGTCCTTGGATACGGAAAGACTCTCCTTATTGGGTAACAGGGTGTCATCTTTTCCTATGATGAAATTTTTAATCAGAGTTTTTGTCAATGTGTACGGCAGTTTTCGATTAAACAAGGTTCGGATTATTGTGTTAAGGTTCCTGATTGATGTAAATAAGAAAGACTTACGAAGGAAATCAGTTTTACATGTTAAAGGGAACAGTAATGTTCCAGTTCGATGTTAAGCAAACAAAAACTCACCATGCTTGATGCATATAGCTTTTTCTTTTTCTAAAAAGAAAACACTAAATTTATGCAATGATGCGTCTTTGGGGGCGGTAGATACCAGAAAGAAAGTAAATTGGCTTTTTTTTTCCATTTTTTTCTCATGAAGCGTTTGGACTTCAATATGAACGATGATATTTCTTGCAATATTAACATGTACGAGAATCAGTAGGAATTTGATTTTTACGCTGTTACCTTTCTTATTTTCGTAATAAGATCGAGTATGTTTTCCTTTTTTTTGCGTTTTAAGATCAAATTATCTCCACTATAATTTTTTCAAAAGCTATTTTAAAAAATGAGGTTTTAGTTACTTATTTTTAGTGTTACACGCAAATTTAAGTTTTTCAGAGGGCTCTATCTTTACAACAAACTTGCTTTTATGAAGGGATGTTTTAAAAGGATAGGCGTACGTCTTTGAAAAAAGAAAACGCTTTTCCAGAGAGTTTATAGTTCGCATTCCACTCATAGCGCTTCTGATTTCGAACTTAAGAAAATAGGCCAAAATTTTTCTTTTTACTTGACTCAAAAAGCGCACGCCAGCTTGAGGCGATTTGTGCGTCAATGTCTTTTTAGCGTGGTCAATTGTTTGCAAATTATGGATAATTCATTTCAAATTTGTATCATTACCAACAGTTGAATTGCGGAGGTCAATTTTGTGGGTAAGTCTTCGGTAGGAATTATTTCATGGCAGCAGTTTAATTAAAGAACTTAGACTGACAGGATTGTCTGCTTTTCTGATGAACTAGAGAAGAAAAGAGTCTAGCTAATTACAGAGTTGACGTGTAAAAGAAAATGAACGCAATTGATGTTGCGAATGATCAAGAGAGAATTCAACTCTTATGATCTAATTTTAAATGAACATCGCGCTGCTGTCAAATTATCACAAGCGGCCGAGCGCCGAGGAAAAAGTCTGAAAAAAGGAAAACAAGAGAGAAATAGAAAAATGGAAATCGATATATGCAACACCTATAAACTCAATGGATGTTGCTTGAAATAATGTTCATTTCATCTCATTGAAAAAAATTCGCTTTATTTTCCAAATATTGCGGGTAGAAAAGGCATATAATAATGAAATGATTTCCTGATTCATCCGAACTTGTTCAGTAACTAATAGACCTCTTGGATAAGAAAAAAGGAACTAAAGACAACATGCCCATATCAAGACAAAACCCCATCATGTTCCGACTGCCTTCTAAGATTAGTTTTCGCTTTACAAAAAATTCTAGAACTATTTTTTAGAAAAAGAGGGATTTTTTTGCATTTTTTACCCCACACGCAATGTAAATCACAAAGTGATATATTTAGCATACATCAAAAAGTTACATAGACCAATTAGCCTGCCTCAAGTCAATTTGGAACGCTTTCTAAAACGGTTTAAATTGCGGCTTACTTGTTAATAGCACGAAATTAAACGCACGTTATACTTCCCGAGGTAGTCAAATCGGCATTCTTTATACCTCCGAAATCATTACAGGTTATATTTTTTTTCTCAAAAGTTTGAGCATGTTACACTAAAACTTTTTGGATGATATCAAAATAAGTTTGTCAAAAAATGATAGATTAGAAATCGATAACTGTCTGAAGAAAAAAAAATCTCGCTTAGCACTATTGTTCCGCCATTTTCTTTGAAAATTGTGGAACTAAAACTGAATCATCACTGAGTCTCAACATTTCAAAACTATTTCGTGTAATCTCGTAAGGATTTCATTAGGTACTGTATATTCATTCATAGGGTTGTTAAAACCATGAAAAAGGTTTTTAACGATGTGTCATGAAATTCCTTTTTTTCATTAGTTTCAACTTGAATTTTTGCAAAAACTTTTAACAGTTGATATTTACTGTCAGCTTTTAACACGCTAGGTGTATACTTTTGTTCGAATCTAATGTGCCGGGCTTTTTAGTCAAATTTTCTGAAGAATAGTCTTTGTCAAGTCATACATGGATAGCCGGTTGCTGTGCGAATAGCGCATATTGTTTCAACCGACCAGATTCAAAAAAAAGTTAGCTGAAAAATAGAAAAAATACTTTTAAAGCAAGAACAAAATTAGAACGTTTTCGCAATTACTGTTGTAAGTTACTGATGTCTTGTTTTTTTTTTCACTAAAACTAGATTGAAACATGTTCTTTTTTCAGTAGTAAAGTTTTGCTAAATGAAAAAAAAAAGTTCAACAAGACTGCTAGTATGTCAGGGTTGAGCCCTGAATGCTCTGATTGCCACTTAATCTAAATCGAATAATTTTCGGTAAAAGCAAACTTTGAAAAACTATAAATTCGGGACAATATCAAAGATAAAATGTAAAAATTTGAGCCATTCGAAATTAAATTGACCAATTAGCTAGCCTTAATTCAGTTTAGTACAATTTTTCTGTGCGGGATAATTTGTCACGCAAAATTAGTTTGCGTTACGTTTTTCAGGATTATGGAAAAAATCTACAAAACGCGCATAAATTAGTCCAAAGTATGGCTTAATTGGCAATTTTCAAACACCAATACTTTCTAAGAATTAATGGGAGAAAAAAGCTTTTTTTTTCAAGTCCAAATCGGGGATTTGCCGATATCTTCAATAAGGAATAAAAACTTTTGTTCAAAATTATCATATCGAACGCCGAATTTTGACAAAATAAAAAAAACTACACCAAGCATAAATTTCCCGTTTTCTTTGAAAACTCGAACAATAAAGGCTCAAAGAAGTAGCTTATGACCATATCAGCAAAAAATCAAAGTGCCGGTGCAAAGCATTGTTGTAAGTTGGAGAAAAAGCACACTCTAATTTCCTATTTCAAATTTTAAAATCAGTGTTCTTGATGTAAATAACGAAAATGCAACCGTTATAAAGTTTCAGCTACAAATCATGCTTACTGAATATTCAATTAAAATCAAAACAAAAGAAGACTGCTCGTATCAGGGCAAAACCCTGAGTGTTCCGACTGCCTTAAAAAATTTATGAAGCGCTTATAATATGAAAATGTATAAAAATCAAAATGAAAAAAATTTATATATGTATATAAAGATTCAAATTTTTTGTAAAAATCATCTGCCCACGCGCCATATAAAGTACAAAGTGATTTTGTTCCTAGTATTAACTCAATTACGGCCAATAGGCTTTCTTCAACTAATTTGCAACTATTTCTAAGACGGAATATAACTGCACTAAAGCTTTAATAGCAAAAAAATTATATCGCGCGTTAATTGTCCCAAAATGGCTCAAATGGGGGCACATTTGAGCCCCCATAATTTTACGAAAGTTGGTCGCCGAAGAAAAATGTTTTTAAATTTAAGCTCAAGAAAACAATACTTTTCGATTGATACAAAATATATTTGTGATTAAAAAAAAACTATGATCAGTTAAAAAGTCGAAATTTGTCTAAGGAAGAAACCACCCCGATCACAAATCTTCTTTATTTTTGCTACGAAAGTCAAAACACCATAAGATTTCAAAGTTAACGTTTAGGATTTCGATTGAATCAAAGTCGAATCAAAAAACGAAAAAAATTAGATGAAAATTCAAACAGCGTCGAAACATGAGTAAAAAAAACGGGGTGTAGTCATAGGAAAAACAGTGTTGACTTCTGAGCAAATAAGATATAATTTATGAGAAAAATAGCCTCAACTCATGGGTAATAATTGAGAATTTGAAATCATTCTTTTTCCGAAATTTTGAGCAAAAAGTCTACACAAATAAAGATCACGGTCAGAGCGTCACATTGCGCACCATTCATTTTCTGAAAGCTCTAGGTGAAGCTAAAAGTTTAGTGAAACCCATTCAAAATTTTGAGATTATTGCATCTCCTGGTAAGAAAATAACCATAAAAAAGTTGTTCATTTATCAATTCATAATTTATTAATTGTTTGTAAGCTGTTTGAAATTAAGAAACAAAGTGATACTGAAAAACTTTATGGTTAAAATTCAAATGCAGGCGAATTTAAAAATATCATGCCAATTAGTGTTTATATTTAATATTTGGAAATTTTTTAACAAGAAATTGGATTTTGATTCGGCACGCGCTAGTTTCTCAAAATTATTTTATATCGGTGACAAGGGCTCCCCAAGAACTTTTTGGTAGTAATGGATATCTTAGAAAAGTAACAAAAAATATACCCTTTGGGTCGACGGGAATCAAACCCCCACCAAATCCACCCCTGGTTAGACTGATTCCCTGTCAAAAACACACAACACATTTTAATCTGAAAAGAATTTTTAAAAATTTATATAGAGCAAGTAAATCAAAAACGAAAAAAAAAGATCAAAAATGTCAAAAATCAACATCGTTTGACACAAAAATAGAAACTGACATCATTCACTCGACTATTACTGGCGTATAATGAGGCAAGCAATTGTGCCCTTGGATGAAGCGAATTAAGTTTATGCTTGCAGGTTCAGAAGATTGCATTTATAACAACAGGTGTTTTTGTGAGCAACTTTTTTTTAAGAAAAAAGCTGAATCTGAGAAGAAAATAAAGGCTGAGAATTCCACCATAATTCAAATGTCGTTTTTAAATGATATTTTTATGCTTATTTCGTTTAATCTATTCATGATTACTTTCGCTATATAGTTTGGGCCTCAGATCAGCAGTTTAGTAAGAGAAAGATGGGCCCATGCTTTAATATTTCTTACCAAAATCACACACAACACTTTAATCAGAAAAGTTTAAATAAATTTTAATTTTTTATGATATACCAAGTAGGTCCAAACGTAAAACCTGTAATCAAAATGGTCAAAAAATATCATCGTTTGAAACAAAAATAGAAACTGCAATCACTCACTCGAATGTTTCTTCTAAATAATGAGCCACGCAATTGTGCCCCTGGATAGCGTGCTTTAAGTTTATGCTCTTAGGTTTAGAAGAATGAAATTTTATAACAGGTGTTTTCGCTCAAATTTTGAAAAAGAAAGCTATACCTGGGAACGGCATATTTGGCTGAGAACTCAAACTTTTCCATCACACTTTGATGTTGTTTGTTAATCGTTTTTTGCTATTTCCGGTTCATATATTCACGATTTTTTTTTTCACTTTTTTGTTTGGAACTCCGCTCGGCGGTTGAGTAAGAAAGATGGGCCCATCGGCTCATGTGAACAATCTACCCTTAATAGATCAAGTGAACAATGTCTCCCTAAGCCTAAAGGGCAAACTCAACTCGAAAAACTTGCTGAAACTATGCTCTAATCTGGTTCACTGAAAAATATTACTGTTAACCAAGTGAACAATATCCGCATTGAAGTGATATAAGGGAAGATTGATTGTTCACTTGGTTCAAAAAATGAATTTTTTTTTCTGGTTTTCTCAATTTTTTTGCATCAATTAACTCTTAAAACTCAGGCTAAAAGAACAATTATTCAAATTTGCTCTAATTTGCACAAACGTCAGAAAACCTTATGCTAGCAATGGTGGTATTAAGACCGTTATAATTTATTAATTGACTCAACAGTTTTTGATTTTTTTTTATTGAAATTATCAATTACCTGCAAAGCATTGATAATATTAGGCTATTTTCCAGATTCCTCCCTTTCAAATTCATTTTTGAAAAGCTTATTTAACGTTGTCATAATGCAATGAAATTTGGCGTGGTGATCAAGTCGACAACTGTGAACAGATTTTTTCTTCATACTTTACAACGTAACATCACGCATTCAGCCGAAATAACATGTAAAACAAACATTAAACTCGGTATTTTGAAAGGGGAAAACTGGAAAAGAGCCTAATATTTAAGTCAGTTATTGTGATCTGGACGCAATTTTTTTCATGCTACTCGGCATTTAGGTGGACAAGAGTGTATATATCCAGCGCTATGACAAGAGCTCCCCCAATTAATTTCTATGCAGACTTTATGCTAGTAAAACGTTGACTGTAAGTAACCCAATTTAGACACTAAAATTGATAATATAAGGATTTTATACAGTTCAGAAAAATCGATTATGTAGTCCAGAAAACTGATATTTTTACTGTGTGAAATCTGTATAAATTATGTATACATCGATTGTAATCGAATGTAATGCAACTTCTAGGGACCCAAAAAATTGATTATATTGTCTAAAAATGGATTATGATTACTACAAAATTAATTTTTCTGCTCTTACAAGCATGCTGTTTTAAAACTCAAAAATTAAGTTGAATCCAACTAAAGGACACAAATTAAGAAAATCATCAGTAAAAACGAAATTTTAGGCACATAAATATACACAAAAACCTTAAACATCATCGATACAAAAAATTTTGAGCCATAAAATTTACAATTATTTCATGAAAAACATCAAAAAAAATTGTGCAGAAAAAAAAACAAGAAAGGCTGAATATCATCAAAATAAACAAGACTTTCAGCATAAGAACAACAATTAATTCAAAAAAATCATCATTATAAACAAGATTTTGTGCACAAAAAATGCCATAATCTCCTGAAAATCATCAAAATAAACAGGATTTAGTTGGTGGGCATCATCACTACCAATTTACCTCGATCTTTTCTTTTTTCTGCTGAATACAGCTCGAGGCAATTTATGGGGCCGTTATCCTTACTTTCAGGTTTATCTTGCTAATTGTATTTTTTAACTTTTTTCCTCCTTCTAACAGTTTTGGATCTTTTCAACTATCCCCATCCCATAGATTACCTAGTAACGAATATCCATCCCTTCAAAAAACTTCTTAGAGGGTATGTATATTTTGTTGTACCCTGTAATGAACCCCCCCCCCCCCCCCCCCAGCATTTTTGTACAGGGGACAACTTCAACCAAACAAAAAGATGTTCAATTGTTGCTGTAATTTAGGACGAATGAGCCATTCGGCGTGCTTGTGTACAATGATGGTGCTTTGAAGAACAAAGAGTTCTTCGGCATAGAACTGTACGACGGATATCTCTTCTATGCCATCTACACTGGACAGGGAAACGCCACCAGAGACAAAATATACGCGCCCAGGAAGTAAGAATAATATTAAGCAAAAAATTGGAACAGACAAAAGTAATTAAAAAGAGCAATACGCCAGTTTTGAACAAAAAGTTATGCAATTTAAAGTTTTCAGTCGACCTTGAGAACTCTTTTTAATTAATTTTGTCTGTTCCAATTTTTTGCAACTCTTTCTCATATCAGTTCATAGAAGATCTAGCCCACCATCATCCGTGCTCATCGTCGTCGGTGCTGGTCAGGCTGCAATTCTCAGCCGAAAAAAAAATAGACATAAATATACTTGCACGGAGTTCATGTAAGCAGGGGGCACAATCGCTGTTCGCGGCAAAGAGCCCAACAAAGCTCGTATGTCTGTCATTTCCGTCGTCGATAAAACGGTGCCAAAAATTTAACATCCACCTCCAAAACCAACCCTCCCCCTCCGAATCAGAACCAGACAAAATTTGCCCATTCCGCCATATACTTTGCAGTGGAATTAATAAAGCTCTCGTGTGTTTGTTTATCGATTTCGATTGGATGAAAAAATTAGTTTTGATAGGTTAACCGGGTTGAACTTCACACAAAAAACAATTTTTGTCAGAAAATTTTTTAATGTAGTCTAGAAAAAAAATGCGTTTCATTGAATTTCCAGTTATGAAAGTTGGTTGACAAACATTTTTCCTTACAAACCAAGATTCCGAAATCCTTCAATTTTATTTCTAAAAACTTTTAAGTTTATTATTTCCGTTTTTTGTTGAATAACAGCCCTTTTTTGTCAAATTTTTTAGATTTTTTGCTTGGAAAAAGTGCTAATTCTGCAAATTTATTTCATGAATACTGTACAATAAACAATTTTTTAAGAAATTTTTAGTTCTCAGTTTGGTCGATAATCCCTTTTTATGATCAAGCAGGAAGTTTCCGACAAAATTTGAAGCAATCAGTTTTAAATTTTACTTTTAACGTAGTCCAGACACCGTTTTTTTACACAGAAGAATTAAAAATCACAAGGAATATATTTTTTCAGTTTTGCAGCAAACTAAACAAAACCAAAAGTTTGTCCCAAAAAGAAGCTAAAATTTACAACCTCCGCATTTTTTAAAATAGAAGCTTCATAGCCATCTACAGAATTTTTGTTCCGATTTTCGAAGAAATGCGGAATATATATACCAGGGATAATTTTTTTGCTCGGTCAATTTTTGACTTTTTATCTAAGCATTTTCGACATAATTTTTAAAATATCATCTTACAGATATTGATATTGTTATCTGGGACTCAGATTTTAAAAAAGTATCTCGCCTATAAACTTTTTTCCTGGGTTTGATGGGTTTGAAACTGTGTCTACTTAAGAAAATTGCTTTTTATACCATTCCATTTATGGAAAAAATTTCAACAAACACTTCTGTTATGGGACAAATGCCTGTCATTTAATTACACTAAGAGCAAAATGCTAGTCTTGCTATTTTCAACATTTGTTGTCTTTAGAATGGTAGGGAATTAAATGATGAGCTTTTTTCTATAAACGAAAACGCATGACTAGCATTTTTGTCAACCCGGGACTAGAATTTTTGTCAACAAATCTCCACATCTCGATACTATTTTGGGCAGTGTTAATTAATTCAAGAAAAATTAAGCCTATTAGACGCGCTGTTGGAAATTAGGTTTATAGCGACACTTTTTCCAGAATCAGATCTGATCACATCTAAGAGAACTTTTAATGAATCAATAACTTCATACGTGCTCAGGACTGCTTTTTTTAAAACCAGACTTTTTAGGTGATTTTTGGGTCGAAAGGTATCTGATTTCGCAGTAACATATCAAACAGTTGGTAAGTTCAGAGAGGAATATTTTATTCTGGAAGTTTCTCATTAACATTGTCGGAAAATGGCAGGATCAAATTTTTCCCCAAAAACTATCGAAAAGACGATCAATATAATATAACTTTTTTCAAAAGCAATTAATTATGAACACTAAATTCAGATGTTTTAGTGATTTTTTATCCAGTGTAAAACTGCATTTTCAGTTTTATTCCAGAAAAAAAAAGCTTTATTCCACGATTATAGTAGATTATCACCTCCTATTTTTCAAACATGTTATCAAGCCAAAACAAATAAAACTATCCCTAATTTTTTTTATTCTGAACTTTACGAAAACCCACATTAAGTAAACTGTGACTACAAAACACAAATAGTTTGAAACTTATTAAACCCGAGTAAAAATTTCAAATTGTGTGGAGATCGCGCTACACTTTTATATAGGTCAAAAATAGGATCAAGTTAACATCTTCCCCCCAAATAGACCAAGATCCTACACCCAGCGTTAGATTTAAATTGAAGTTATGAACCGGATTTGAAATAAGTTATTATGCATTGAAAAAAAACTCGATTCTGATTGGCTGAAAATTCGAACTCAGAACCAAGTTAACATCATCCTCCCTAAAAGGCTTTGAGGGAGGATGTCTACTTGGTTAAAAAATATCCTGGTAGGGGTTTTCATTAATTATTGTTTATGGTTTTCTTTGCCAGTAAAAGCGTTTATCAAATTGACTGCCGACTTCGGGCACAGCACTGGGTAATGCTGGTACGGATACGGGCACGTGTTAGTGTACGGGTTCGGGTACGTGTATAGATTTCGGTACGATACGGTTTTGATCACTCGTACTCACGAGTATTAATACGAAAAATTGTCACAAAACTATCATAATATTGTTGATGATCATATTTCTATAACTGATCTCGTACAATTTTAAGCTAAGGTTTTAGATTTCGAAAACTTGAAAAAAAAATTGAAAAAAAAAAACGCTAAATTCAACAAATTTTTATCAACTTTTTTTAAGTTGTCAAGTGTATTTGTAGCCAAAATAGGGATAATGAAACAGTATACAAAGTTATAAAAAGATAATGAATATCAAGCAACAAATTTTTTGAAAATCTGAACAGAAAAATCGTTTTTTAATATATTTTATTAGATTGGTTATTGTAAAGTTTCATTGAAAGACTACAATAGTAGGAGAAAAAACCTGATTCCTAGGGCTGACTATGTAGTGTGATTAAACTTTTTTTCATCCCAGGGGCCCCTTCGGGGAAGGGGGTTGGCTGATCAAAAAAATGTCGGCATTTTCTTAGGTTGCCCAGAACTGATCACATCTAAGAGAACTTTTAATGAATCCAATAACTTCATACGTGCTCAGGACTGCTTTTTGTAAATCCAGACTTTTTAGTTGACTTTTGGGTCGAAAGGTATCTGATTTCGCAGTAACATATCAAACAGTTGGTAAGTTCAGAGGGGAATATTTTATTCTGGAAGTTTCTCAATAACTTTGTCGGAAAATGGCAGGATCAAATTTTTCCCCAAAAACTATCGAAAAGATGATCATTATAATAATAATTTTTTCAAAAACAATTAATTATTAACACTAAGTTCAGATGTTTTAGTGATTTTGTATCCAGTGTAAAACTGCATTTTCAGTTTTATTCCACGGAAAAAAAACTTTATTCCACGATTATAGTAGATTATCATCTCCTATTTTTCAAACATGTTATCAAGCCAAAACAGATAAAACTATCCCTTGTAATTTTTTTTTATTCTGAACTTTAGGAAAACCCAGATTAAGTAAACTGTGACTACAAAACACAAACAGTTTGAAACTTATTAAACCCGAGTAAAAATTTCAAATTGTGTGGAGATCGCGCTACACTTTTATATAGGTCAAAAATAGGATCAAGTTAACATCCTCCCCCCAAATAGACCAAGATCCTACACCCAGCGTTAGATTCAAATTAAAGTTATGAAGCGGATTTAAATTAAGTTATTATGCGTTGAAAAAAAAACTCGATTCTGATTGGCTGAAAATTCGAACTCAGAACCAAGTTAACATCATCCTCCCTAAACGGCTTTGAGGGAGGATATCTACTTGGTTAAAAAATATCCTGGTAGGGGTTTTCATTAATTATTGTTGATGGTTTTCTTTGCCAGTAAAAGCGTTTATCAAATTGACTGCCGACTTCTGGCACAGGACTGGGTAATGCTGGTACGGTTACGGGCACGTGTTAGTGTACGGGTTCGGGTACGTGTATAGATAGATTTCGGTACGATACGGTTTTGATCACTCGTAATCACGAGTATTAATACAAAAAATAATCACAAAACTATCATAATAATGTTTATAATCATATTTCTATAACTGATGTCGTACAATTTTAAGCTAAGATTTTAGATTTCGAAAACTTGAAAAAAAAATTGAAAAAAAAAAACGCTAAATTCAACAAATTTTTATCAACTTCTTTTTTTAAGTTGTCAAGTGTATTTGTAGCCAAAATAGGGATAATGAAACAGTTTACAAAGTTATAAAAAGATAATGAATATCAAGCAACACATTTTTTGAAAATCTGAACAGAAAAATCGTTTTTTAATATACTTTAATTGATTGGTTATTGTAAAGTTTCATTGAAAGACTACAATAGTAGTAGAAAATACCTGATTCCGAGGGCTGACTATATAGTGTGATTAAACTTTTTTTCATCCCAGTGGCCCCTTCGGGGAAAGGGGTTGGCTGATCAAAAAAATGTCGGCATTTTCTTAGGTTGCCCAGTCAATTTTTCAAGCGCAACTTCTTTTATGAGAAAATGTTTTACGCAGCAGACAATTTTTTTTAAATAACAGGTAAAAAAGCAATTTTTAGCAATTTTCGGAAAGTTGTGATAAAAAACTACGTTTTTTCGGCGCGCGCTCCCCCTCAAAGTTAGTATATTTTGGCGCCGCAAAGCGCCTTAAGCAAAACTTTAGGATCGGCCGAAAATGAATGTCATAAAATGCACAAAAGAGGTGGTGGTTAGGGGTGATTTTGGTGGTGAGGGGTGGCTTGGGTAGTGAGGGGGTCAAATCTCTGAGGAAGCGAGCGTCTGCACCAGCGGCAGCTGCGCACCCCCTAAATCAGCCCCTGTTTCAACCTGCATGTCGATAAGATTGAACAATACTGGACAAATTTTTCTGAACATCTAGACCGAAGAGAGTTATTAGGAACCGCAGTTTTTAAGTATAGCACTTTTGATCAGATCCAAAAAAAATAAGCGAGCTCGTATCCGCCGACTAAAAAAAAGAAAACTTTTTCTGGCTGTTCGTTTGACAAATCTTGGCTTTCATTTTTTTATCTGATGAACTGTTCAGAAATTTCCTTGGCTTATTGTTGAACCTAGTTAGGGTAGTTAGCTTAACTATATCCTGCCCGAGTTGCCTGTCCATGAAAGTTCATCCCTGAGCCATCCCTGGAGCCAGGCCTGGTCAGCGGAAAAACCAGGTCGAAGTTTTGCAAGAATTTCCCTGGCTTTCCTGGATCGGTTTAAGAGTCCAGGCTAGTTTTCAAAGAAATTTGCTAGGAATCCCAGGTGTCTTAGGCAAAATATAAATTATAATATCTACTGAGAGTTTATTTAGAACATCTTCCAAATAAAAGCTGACTGATGCAAAACTTTTTGAAAACGTTTTCATTTCCTTGATATCCTGAAACGGTTCCTAGTAAGTGTCCAGGCATGGTTTTCCAAGTTTTTTGCAGGTCCGAAATTTTTTCTGCAAGAACTCCAGGATAGCAGGGGTGCCCTGGAGCTTTTAAGTTCCTGGCACGAAGTCTAAGGGTTTCCCATGGCTAGCTTACCCGGGTTACTATAATTTGGAACAAAACCGGTCCAGCTTTTCGGACTGTGGCCGTCTTGTAATGCAGCTGCTTTCTAACCGCGATGTTTCAATTGTCTGCTCGACCTATAAATTCAATTTGAAGGATTCTCATTCGCAGAAGAACAAGTTATGGCGAATTTTTAGTCTGGTTTTTTGAAAACCAAACCAAAAAAGTTGAGTACGTCGTCCTGAATGATTGTCATTTGATTTGTAACTTAAATTTGTACCTGCTGTATGTTCTATTTTATGGCAAAAATCATTTTTCACTCTCTCTTTTTTAAATGGATGTAAATGAATGGCGGATTAGATTAAATGATAAACAAATGGTTGATTGAATTTACGATGGTTGATTAAATGGTTAAATCTAATAAATGGTTGAATATTGGCTAAATTTTTGTTAATTAAATGGTTAAATGGGTGAAATGGCTAAAGATTGGTCAATTTAATTTGTCATTCGTGCTTCAGTCGCCGAGTGACAGATGCAATGTGGCACGACGTCTCCATCATCCGGCTGGGAGCATCGTGGAAGATCCGCCTGGACACCAGAACTACCCAGGTCAACATGGATGGCGTGTCTCTGGACCTGGAGGGACCCCTACAGGTGGGGGGAGTCGAGCGGAGCCCAGTCAATGACCGATACTCACTCCCCAGACAGATGTGGTCAGGTAGGTCAAAGGTCAACCCCCAATTTCATTCCATGTTAGGAAATAAAATAGGGAAATCGCAGAAAGATCAAATAACAAAAAAACGGCAAATGAAATTTCCAAAAAACACGTTGCGGGACAACATCAAAGCCCACAAAAACTTGATTTAAATGAACGTGCGTGGTGACCAAAAAAGAGTTTTTTGATGTAGTTGCAGTTGGGGACTTTTTCTTGATATGTTCGTCTTAAAGAGGACGTTCTCCGATATCGTCTCAAACCGAGACGTTTTGGACGTAACTTTCAACTGTGGTTGGTCTTCCAAGTCAAACTTTTCAGTGTTAAGAATGTATTGAATACACACACTTAGACAGGTCGTCATGTTTTTTATTTCAATTTGTTCAGGAAAAGATTTCCAACTTGATCACGCGGCTCTGTTTCCTTTACCCCCACCTGCAATTTTTTACTAGTAAAGTTACTGTTCAAATTGTCCGATCGTTATGAAAATTGACATGCAGACTAATTAGGCTGTGCTAAACATATTTGGTTTTCATAATTAAGCTTGTAAAACCCCTCGTTACACCAGGAAAAAGAGCCGATCACACCAAACATGATATTTTGGACTTTGAGTTGAGATTATTTTTAAGTTCAGTTCAAAATCATTTGCTAAATTACGCTCTTCATTTAAGATGGCGCGAAAAAGAACGTGAATAATTTGCAAAACAAAATGGTAACTATTTCTTCAGTCCTTTCAATTTATTCATGCTTTTGACAATGTTCACAACCAAAAAATACTTGGGACAAATCAAAAGGAAGTCGGAAAATCGACCATAGTATACCAATTCAAGCTTTTGTTGGAGTCAAACAAAATTTCTTATATAATTTAAATCTATTTGATTTGATTTTAAATTCAAACAAGACTTCTCGTATCAGGGCAAAGTCCTAAATGATCCGTCCTAAATGAACCGATTTAATTAGTCGTGAATATTCTTTGGTAAAATAGATTTAGCCAAAACTATGAATGAATTGACGGATTAAAAAATAGAAAGTTAGTAAATTGAACAAAACATAAAAATAAACTTTGTTAAAATTTGATTAATTTTATATCATAGTCGTCAGAATGTTTTTCAAAGTCTAGAACAAGTTATTCAAAATTGTCAAGCATCTTCTAGGGAACTAAAGATATAGCCCACTATTTGCGAGTTTTCTTTACTTAAACGCAATAACTTAAGCGCGATAAATTTTGTGAGTTTTCATTACTTAAACGCGAGAAACTTTGTGAGCTTTCATTACTTGAACGCGAGAAAAACAAAAAAAGAAGCGTGTAATGACTAACATTCGGTATTATGCTGGACAAAAAAGCCAAAAAAAAAACAAGCATCGTACCGAAGGGAAAAATAATAATAAATTTCATGGCCCATTTCTTTATTTTGTCAAAAGAAAAACAGTGATGCAATTATAAATTGTTCTAATTCAAATTGTCTGTGCACATTTTAAATTCTGTATTAGATAATTCCCTGCGTAGTATTTCCTCATTACTCAAAGTATTGATTCAGTCTTTCACTCAAATTAGAAAATTACTTCATCAGATACAAACTGCTTTTATATTTTGCACATTTTATGAAGTCTGATTAAAAATTACATATTTTATTTAACCATCAGCAATATGAAGTAAAATGAACAATATATTTTTTGTTAAATTCATTCAAACTAAAGGTTTCTGATCCTACATGCTGCACATTTGACATTTTGCTATTGAATTTTCCAATTTTTTGCATCCAACTAATTGTTAGAGATCATAACTTCTTCGAATCTAAACAAAACCTTCATACTTTAAAAACAACACAACTCGTGTCAGTGAAAAGCCCTGATGTTCCGATTGCCATTTAATTGGTCTCGAATAAATTTTGGTAATTGATTTTTGGCAAAAATATGAAATACTTTGATCATATGAAATTTGGCTCTTGTTCACTCTCCCTCATTTAAGATTTCAATTTTTGAAAAATTAATTTTACGTTATCACATTGACATGAAATTTTGTAGAGCAAACAGACTAATTTTTGTGAAAAAGTTTGTTGTTTATACATTACAACGTAAAATCAGGCATTCAACCATAATAACAGTAACACAACTAAGAAGATGGATTTGAAAACTGATTTACGGACTAACTATGCCATGGCAAACACATTTGCTCTTATACTCAATCGAAAAGAGCTTTAAAAACTAAGTATTACACTTTGAGTATTGAATGGAAATCATAAAACCAATTAGCAGCCTCAATTCAGGATAGAACGATTTTGTGGAGCGGAATAATTCACCACGCGTGAAAAATACTAAAACGAGCAAGGTTCCTATAGTAGTGTGCACAAACGGCTGGACCAATGCAAACCAAACGAGCGATTCCCCGAGTTTTGTAAAATTATTCTGAATGAAAAACCTCCCGAGCACATATACTCCTCACTTTCTTCGAAAATCAGAGCAAAAATATTAATCCTGGACTGTTGTGTATCTATATGACAACTCAGTTTGTAGTTCAAGCTTCACTTGTTTTACAAATTTCTTAGAAGAGCCACACAAAATCAACGCATGTTTGAGTCCTAAAGGTTCCGTGTATCCAACATTTCATTGCTGAACAACCTAAGTCCCAAACTTATAGCCTAATTTTTCTAAATCTTTATTTAAAAAACGTGGTAATTTGAAAGAAAAAATCAGTCGGTGGTATTGAATTAATAAAATATGCTTTTCAGTATGGCCTATGGTGATACACATTTTATGATCAATGATTAAAAAAATCAAGAGATAATGTTCTTTAATGATCATAAACGTCCTCCTTGAAAAACCAACCAAGCATGGATCTTCCTTGGATCCCATTAATTGTAACCTTTAAAGAACGTGTTTTTTGTAACCTTTAAAGATCGTGTAACCTTTAAAGAGCACTTCTTTTTGAAGACAAAATCAAACAATGCTTAATCAAACGAAAACCAATTCAATAGCAAAATCAAATAAGTCCTTTTTTGAGTAGAAATAAAAAGTGTAACTATTTTCTCCAAAGACGAGTCAAAATTGTCCCCTTTTGCGTCAAACTCAAACAACATCCTCAATCAGACAGACGAATTCAAAAAATGATCCTTTCAAGACTAAAGTCAGTGCTCTCTTACATCAACAAGAGACAAATATTTCACTTTAGAGATCAAGCCCAATGTCCTATGCAACCAAGTAAAAACACCACGTGAAAAAAATCCATCCAGAAAATACGCGAAAGCTGTTACTTTTGTATCATTAATCAAACGTCGAAATAGTCTGTTTTTGATACAAACTCGAAAATCTCTTACATTTGCAATAAAGTCTAAGAATGTCCTCTAATATGACCAAATCGAAAAAAGTCCTAATTAAATCATGTTTTCACTGGCCCAGAAATATCTCCTGTGTATATTTTTAAATAATTCTTTTTCCTACCGTATAATTTGAGCTACCCCCCCCCCCCCCGTTTTTTCAAAAGGCGCAGAAAATTTGGCGAAACAGGGTCTTTTTACTGCTTTGTACTGCTTTGGGAGAGCTCGGAAAATCAATCTGATCGACCTAAAAAAAAAAGGTCGTCAAAATAATTTTTGAAAATTTTTTGAAAAGCCGCCCCCCCCCCTCGAGAAAATCCTAGATCCGCCCCTGCACCCCCCCCCCCATCAATTTTGCAATAAAGCATTTTTCTCAGACCTATCATTAAAACCCATTCAGTAGTTGCAGTGATGAACATTAAAAAAAGTTAAAGTGATTAATTCTCGGAGACCTTAGGCGTGATGAAAACGTGAAATGAAAATTTGGACATGATGGTGCCAAACCTTTCTTGTGGCAAAATCGGTACAGTTTTTCGATTATGCGCACTAATTATCAGTGTTTTCAACCTGCGTGAAATTAAATCGTTTCATTCATAATTTTGCTGAATTGCAGAAAACCAAATGAAGTTGAAACAAATAAACATCAGAAAGGACGCCCGAGGTTTTGAAGATAATTGGTATTGCAAAATTTTTATTGGTACAAAAATGGTGCAATTTTAGCCCGAATTTTCATATGCTTTCTTTGTATGATGTAATATTTCGATAATGCGTAGCACTCACTTGAAAATAATAGGAAGGCTTTTTCGTTTCTGAACTATTCGGCCCGTGTGAACAAGTTCTCCCCCGCCCCTCCCCCTCTAATCAACCAAGTGAACAAATTAACGATCATCCACCAAATGTAACTAGCGAATTTAAGCAGTAAAGCAAGCCAAAGTGTGAAAAGCTGGAGTCTGATTGGCTGAAAAAAATAACTAAAAGGAAACGATATTCTCAGTAACTCAAATTCAGAGTTCAGTTCAACATATTTAGCTTGTGTTTATGATGGAGCTACATAATGTTTAGTATCTCTGTAATTCAGGCGCTGATCCAGGATTGGACCGAGTTAACTCCCCACCCCAGCCAGCTAATCCGCAACGCCTAAAAATAGTCGTCCAAACAAACGAAAGTTGAATTTCCCGGCCCTCACAAAATACTATAAAATCAGTTTTGACAAAGCTTTTGCCGTCAATGTGTTTTTTACAAAAAAACAGCCCAGGAAAGTCGTTTTTAGGCCTTTTTTGGAATTGTCTGTAAGTCGTTTTTAGAAAAAAAAAATAGGATAAGTCATGAAACTTTATTTAGGATAAGTCAGATGTCATAAATTAGTACAAAAGAAGAGACCCTTTTGTTGGATTTGCTCAAGAAATTGGAAAAAAGTTGGAACATTTTCCGAATTTTGAAGAAAAAAGTAATCACGTAGAAGCTCTTTGAGTTTTATGTGCTGTTCATAATTGTCACATTTTTCGTTCCTTTATTTTATTTAGAGAACACTGGATCAGTAGTTAATTTATTGTAACAACATAAAATTAATTCAATTTCAATTTTTTTTTATTCTGTTATAAATTCAGACGATAGAAGTCCTTTTTTGACATTATCGAAGTCATTCATTTGCTGTTCGAAAGTGGAGTTTGCATTCATTTAACAAAAAGAATGAAGTGAATTTAAAAAGAAATCATATGTCAAACCGCAAAAAAGTAATCAAATTTGAGCCTGAAAATTTTTCCTGATAGAAAAAACGAACAAAAAAACCATCAAGGTTTTAAAAAGTGAAAAATACATCATTTTTTTTCTAAAATTAATAGTATATGGAACTCAAACGCGGGTACGGCGAAATGTTCGGCAAAAGTTTTTGGAAACTTGCGTCTTTATTGACATGAACTGTTGAGTGATTTTGGCTGTTTTTAACTTTTCGGGGGAGCGGAATCTCCCATTTTTGCTGTACTTTGGAAAATGATACTGATGAGATTTTTTGTAATAAAATTAATATTCTGCTTGAAAATGGATTCATTTTTTGTCTTTGAAAGTGGATTTGAAATTGCTTTTGTTCTTAATCTTAAAAAATAGTGTGCTTGCATTTTAGACTCATTTTACTGTGAAATTCAGAACAATTACAACAAATTGGATTCTTACTGCGAGAACGCCGTGTAACCTGGTTTTAAGGCGCCACAAATTGGAGAAAAAACAGAGATTTGGTTCTGAGAGCTGGTGATAGTATTTGATTTTCTTCTTTTCGTTTCGTAATAGCGTAATAAATTGCACTTGAAAAATGTTTTCCTTTTTAAAAACGGATATGAAAGTCTAGTGCTCGCTTTTATTTTCAGCGCAGCGTGGGTACAACTTCATAGGCTGTATGGGCAACTTCAAGCTAAATGGGGGAGTGGTGGACCTGACGGGGTACATAGAACAGAGGCACAGGGGGGACGTGGAGGTGGATTGTGTTCACTCAGACATGAGTCACTGCAAGAACAACTCAGTGTGTCGCAACGGTGGCTTCTGCTACGAGGGCTGGAACAGGTTCATTTGCAAGTGTCAGACGGGATACACGGGGCTCACTTGTCAGCAGGGTGAGAAATTGCATGGTGGCAACGGGGTGTGAAAAACAAAAAAAAATAGTAAAATTAACAGCCTTCTCCGTAGTTGAAGCATCTCAAAAACGAACGAAAAAAACCTGTTCGTTCAAATTCGTTCAAGCATGTTAAAATCCCCCACCTGGTATGAGGTAGTTTAACATAATCCATATCAATAAAGTTTTCGAAACTCATCATTAAAAGTTATTATTGATAATTCGAAATTGACATGGCTCTCCTATTATATCAGAAGATTCTAGATTTTATTCATCTCGTTCATATAAATGGCTGTTCGAGCAGTACTCATTTTTATCTCTTAGAAACACCTGTTTTTTTTGCTGTATTTCATGGTCGAAATTTAGATAGTATAGATTGTAAAATGATTTTTTTTTCAAATCGCTATTTTCAGTTTTTGATCTCAAATAAGGATTTTTTTCTGATTTGAAGATAGTTCCTACTATCAAAGGGTGGGCGGTACATTGAGGGCGGTACTATTTTTGAGTTTTTCACCTATTTCACTTCATAGTTACCCTAGTGTTAAGGTTAAACATTTTAGTTTAGTCGGAACCTTCTGTGCTGCCCCTGCTTGATTCTTGTTTAGCTGAAAATGATCATCTGCTGAAACAAAACTATTCAATAAGAAACTCATACTTGCCCCTAAAAATCTTTTTTTTTAATTTTGGGGCACTTCGTGTGTAGAACTATAAGTTATGTATCGATTTTCACAAAACAAACTTGGCTTATAGATAACTGTTTTTGTCAGACTTTCGCGGTTTACTACAGAAGAATGTCCATTATATTCAGTAGACTATAACAAAGGTCGTCCACTATTTTTACAAAGATTTTGTCCATTCCAACTTGAAAGCTTTCAAAAGTCTGCAGCCTCAAAGATAGGCATATTTGCATCGAACTTTGAACTAGCATCTTATCATATTTATCACTTGTTGAAAGTGCTTTGTTAACTAGACGATAAATGGGAGAAAAATCCCGTAGGTATATTTGAACAAAATTGAATCCTATGGGGCTAGATATTTATTAACTAACAAAAAATCCTGTTGAATATTGATTTGAGATTCCTCCATGTTTTCTTGTAAACCAAAAATGTTTGCATACTTTGGGTTTTAATAGTCGATGTTTGGATTTTCACTAAATCATGCGAATGATATGAATTAGGAAATCAACTAAATTAGTAGATAGTGTGCCCATTTTTATTCGAAGCGTTTTTGATGAAGTTTTTTTTAATAAATCTGAAATTCATTGTTATCTGGAGCGCCATATTAATTGGAGTTTTATGTAGGATCAATTTTTGTGAAGTTATGGTGGTTTGGAAATTGACTTGGCCATGCTAACTTGGCCAATTTGGAAAATTTGAAACGCTATATATTGCGTTCTTTAAACAAGCGTAAGCCTTTCAAACCCACGCTAAAGCATTCCAAATTGAAACGAGGCAAGTCAATTGGCCTTATGATTAGATATTGAGATTCTAAAATTACATCTTTGTAGCTTACATTAGCTTGTAGTGTGATCAATTGAGAAAAAAAAATTCAAAATTTTTTCAACAAATTTTTTTTAATTGGCCTTAAAGTGCAGGGTTTTGCCAATATTGACGAGCAGACTTGTTTAAAATAAATACTTTTTTTTTCCAGCATAAGAGATTAGTATTGACACTGATTGAGGAGCCCAAATTGAAAACCTTTGAGCTCTCTACGTGCACAGAATCATAAATCAGAAATTTTTTTAGAACTAACGCAAAATGGAAGAACTAGCTAAGAATGAGTCAGCACAAATTAAACGTTAAAAAAATCAGTACTTTTTAAAGCGTTTTCTGAATTGATAATAGCTCGGTTTCACCAAAAATGCTACTCAAACAAATTTCAAATACAAAAAATTGCCAATAATAAACTTTTCATGCAATTCAATATGTCTAAAAAATTGATGAAAGATCTATGATTAGTGTTTTCTTGTTCGAAATTTAGATAGTATAGATGGTAAATTGTTTTTTTTTTTCAAATCTAAATTTTGAGTTTTTGATCTCAAATTAGGATTTTTTCTCACTTGAAAGTAGTTCCTACCATAATAGGGTGAGCGGTAAATTGAGGGTGGTAATAATTTTGAGGTTTCCACATATTTCACTTTATAGTTACCCTAAAGTACAGGTTAAACATTATAGTCAAGTCAGATCCTTCTGTGCTGCCCCTGTTTGATTCATGTTTAGGTGAAAATGATTATCTGCCGAGGAAACAAAAATATACAATAAAAAATTTCATATTTCCTCCTAAAAATATTCTTTTTTCAAAAAGTTTTGGGGCACTTCGTGTAGAGCTGTAAGTTAGGTATCGATTTTTACAAATCGAACTTGGCTATAAATAACTGTTTTTTTCGGACTTTCGCGGTTCGCTATAAAATTATGTCCATTATATCCAATATATTCAGTAGACAATAAAAAAAGGTCGCCCACTATTGCGGAGCCCACGTAAATTTGAAAAAAATATGAGCTCTGAACGTGCACAAAAACATTAATTAGCAAACTTTTCTGACAACTTACGCAAACTTTAATTATGAGTTAGCACAAAGTAAACGTTACAAAAATCAGTTCTTTATAAAGCGTTTTCCGAATTGATAATAGCTCGGTTTCACCAAAAATGCTACTCGAACATTTTTCAAATACAGAAAAATGCTAATAATACACTTTTCATGCAATTCTTTATGTCCAAAGAAATTGATGAAAGGTCTTTGATTAGTGATTTTTTTTATATTGAAATTGTATTTCTAGCATTTTAAGTCAACAGCTATCTAAATTTTTGGCCTTGTAATTATTTTTGGCGATCATTTTGATTTTGATTTCTTGTACATCAATTTCTATACGCAAATCACACTGTAATCTTATCAAAATTTCATATATTTTAATTTTGTAAGTTTTTTAAGTTCCCAGCTCAAAAGCTCAAAGGGTCTTCAAGTGACTTTTTTTGTTGAATCACAAATGTTGAAAAGTGTTCGAAACCTGTATTTTGTTTTGGTTTTGCTGAGTTCATTAAAACTTCTTCAACTACCTATTGGCTGTGATTTTTTGTAGACTTCTCGTGGATTTTTCAATTTAACTTGCCTGCTAGGGATATTTCATGAGTCAAAGGGTTCCTTAAAGTTTTTTTGACAAATAGTTTTTTTTTATTCGGAGCTGAAAACTTCGGAAAATTGAGCTAAATAAATAAACTGGAGCTCTAGAGTGGCGTTGCAAGACTGATCATACGTCCCTCAGATCAATTTTCTCATATTTTTTTGAACTGAAGGTCAAAAGGTGTAGATTTTTTTTCAATTGCAATTTAAAAGTTTCGATTTTCACCCATGATTGGTCTGCTGTAGGCTGAACGATTAAGACACTATGTTGAAAAGGTTTGCTTATTTTTTCAAAGCGTTTTTATGAGTTATTCACTCGAATTTTGCGTTTATTTCTTACAAAAACTTTTAACTGGAATAGTATCTTTTCTGAATGAAAAAGTAAATGGACTTTCACGTTTTGATTGAATCTAATCTTTGTGCCTGAGGCTAATAATGAGACTTCATACTGTTTTACGGTTTGTTTTGCTTTTGCTAACGGTTTCTATTTTAACCAGTGAAAATTTTTCCAGCCGAAAAGCCACAATTCATCCGAGGTAAAGTATTAATAACTAAAGAGACGACAACTAATCAAGAAACAATCAATTCTCATATTAATCCGGGACTACTTCATCGTACAACGTATGTTTTGCCATCGGCCGATAACCATGCTTAAATTAGTTATAGATTTAATTTAGTTTATTTGGCGACCATGGCAAAAAAACTGGCCAAAACTGTTCTGACAAAAACCAAAGCTTTGATCATATTCGCAAGGTTTTCAAAATTATGATTTTTGATCAAATTTAAAAAAGCAACTTTATGTCGTCGCATTTTGCGCCTCGTTTTTTAAATATGGTCGCCAAAAGTTATCTAGATTACCACAAGTTCAAACTATTCGCACTTATTTTTTGTTCACGCTTAATTTGTTTTGTTTTGATCAGTTAGAATACGAATTATTATGCTTTCCAACTATAGTCATGTACTAGAAAGTTTAATATAGTAGCCATTGATTGTTTTCAATAGAAAAAACACTAATTTATTTATTCAACCTTGTTGTAAAGGCAACTGAGACGTTTCCTGGTTTGAAAAATCGGTTCATGCAAGGATTGCTACCCATTCAACATTATCTTTTCTCTTTTGAAAGATTGCGCAATGAAGAAAGGTGAGTTTCACGAAAACTTAATCCTGCAAGCCAGAGCTCGTTTTTTTTGTTTACAAAACGTGAAAAAAATTTTTCATTTGATTTTTCTTTCAATTGACATGAAAAAAAAAACAGTTAAAGGAGTTATGTCGTTTTTTTTTCAAGCACTAATAAATCTATAATTCACCCAAGAAAGCTAGAGTAAAAAATGGTTCAGGCACCAAGGACTTAAGAATATGACTTCCAGAGAAGTTTCGACGACGTCGTCAAAAACTTTTTGACAGCATGTTACTTTGCTATCCGAAGATTATTCATGCACAAAGCTCAATTTTACGAAATTTCTTCTTTTTGCAGATTTCTGTATGTTTAAAAAATGCGTTTTTAGCAACTTAAGGTTAGTAATTGGTGAAGAGAAAGTGACGGAATTCTTGTCCTTGGATGTTTTTTTCTCTAGACTAATTTTGACTTTTCGACTATCACTTTTTAACAAAAATGTCTTAAATCAACCGAAAAAAAAATGTTGTCCGGAGCTCAATTTGAAAAAGATAGTTCACCTGATCGTTTTTGGTACAGTTATAGGGGTTTAAAGATAGCCAATTTGGCTAATTTGTGTCTAATAGCGCGCGATATGTTTTTCGTGCTATTAACACTTTTCGTGCTATTATTTGAAACGACATTGAAAAATGTTCCGAAATGAATTGAGGCATATAACTCGATCATATTATTAAACTGTTGTATGGACGTTGTATCAAATTGTGGTTTACAAAGAGTTATATAATTTTTTTGATTTTTATAAAAAAAAAAAAACTCAATATTTTTCTAGAAACGATTCTATAAAACTTGAAAAAGAATGAAATTATTCCTGGCTTTGCCTTCTTGATACGAGCAGTCTTGATCTAATCTTAAAGCAGGTGAAGAATCGATCTAGCTGTGTCATTTTGCAAATTGAATTGACGTGAGTTGATTTGTCCAATTATTGCTTAACAATTAAAAAAAATGTCAGTTTGTACTTAGCACACTTAACATAGTGTGTGTGGTTAAAGTTTGTACTAAAATGCAATTTAAAATCTACAAATTCCATGTGACAAAACAAAAATTCAAAATAGGGCATAAAACTTGATTGGGAAAACTTTTTGCGAGTATCATTATCAGTCAAAAAAATCAAAAAAATTGAAGATATTTATGCTAATGTGCTTGGATTTTTGTTGAAATATTTCAGGAAAAAAACTTTAAAAAACTGTTAAGAATCAATTGCTTCATTTAAAAAATCTAAGCTTGCTATTAACAAAACGAGAAAAGAGGCAATAAGTGTGATTGGTTTCAAGTTTCAAGATTTCAGTTTTAATTTTTTAATTTACTAGGCAAGAAAAAAAATTTAACTGTTGATCCAGTTTCGTAAAATGTAGAAAATTTCAGCGAAGAAATTGTATTAATCAGAAACACTATAAAAATTTATAAAATTTTAGGAAATTTTCTTTTATGCCATTTTGGTCTCCTTGAACTCCTTGATCATTTTTTTTTCTTTTTAGCTAACTTTAGATAGTCATCAATTATATCTATATGATTAATCTGTATCTCGATCAAAGTTTTTTTGATGTTTTTTAATTATTACTAAGCTCGCAAATTGCAAAATGGAATACCTGCGTGGGAGCAAAAGCGTTGATAATACGTTTAAGTTTTCCTGTGCAGCAATGTAAAGATTTCGAAAAAAAATCTCAAAAAAACCATTATCGTTACATGAGCCTTTACAAATGTCTTTTAAAATATTCGGAAATGAACAGTACTTCTAATATCAAATGTAATCACTTTTTTGCGCCAAAAAGCCATACACCTCATTGAAATCATATCACACCATGTAAGATATACCCTTCTAAAACTTTGGCCTGAAACACTTATTTTTCTTGTTTACCTAATTTTGTCTCGTAAAAGATTTTTTTTTCTTTACAAACAATTTCATCAATATTTTACTAAATGCGAAGGATAAGGCGAAGAGGCGGATGCTCCCCTTCTCAGAGACTTCACCAACTGTCCCCATCAGCTGTCCCCACCAACAGTCCACTAACTGTCCCTTTCGTGCCATTTGACGACATCCATTTTAGCCAAACAAACCCTAAAAACAGTTTTTTTTGTCAAGGACCTCAGAAATCTCCCTTAAGTTTGTGTTTGGCTTCTTTTCTTTTAAAATTTGGCGTAATTTTTAGCCGTTTTTCTGCATTAAATTTTTTGGTGTTGCGCTGTCTTAAGAACTTTTTTTTGATATTTTACTCGTTTAATTTTTGTAATAAAAAAGTATGACTCTATACCAACCTTTAAAAAAGTCAAGTCAAGAAATCAAAAAATATTACCACAAAGACATCAAGTTTTGAGTTTTGTTCTTGAACAAAACAACCACACGAAAAAATAATTGTCTTATTTACCGTCAGTTATTTCACCCTAAAATATTGATTTTTTTTAACTCTGCGATTAACTAATAGTTTCATTTTAGTTTCAAAAATTTGTAGCAGATTTTAGAAATCCTTTTTAAACAAAATTTTGTTTTGATAATTTTTCTGAAAAAAATCTAGGTTTAGAAAAACAACTAGTTCTTCTGAGCAGTGCAGCAAAATTGATACAAATTTTTAAATGATTTTCTTCTTTCAGAAAAATTTTCAAAGACTAAATCATTGCTCTCCTGCACGAAGTGAAGCGAAGTAATTGTGTCGTGAGGTTTTGCTAGCTGTTTCCGATTTTGAATTTTTCAAAGAAAAGATGCACACCTTGGCTCATTTTTTAGGCGCCCTCATGAAAAACACCGTTTGGTCCGTCTACTGCAGCTCGACACTCATTGAAATAAGTAAACGACGGGATTCAAATTTCAGGTAGTTTCTTGATCATTCCAGTCTTCTCACTTGGTGTTATTTGCGAATGGGTGGTCGTTTCGGTGGTATACGAATGTTTGCACCACCCAGGTTGAAGTCCCACCGTTAATTATTGCTTTTTCTGTAGTATACTAGTGATCGCTATTTTCCAGGGCTGATTTATGTATATTTCAGAGTTTGTTGCATAGATAAACCTACGATTTTTCAAGCAATATTGATTACGAAGAAAATCATCGCTAAAACTTAAGAACTTTTAACTCATTCTAGTAGCTATCGAATGAGAGTTTTAGTTGATAATTCCTTTAACATACAAGAAGTAGCATACGTGTCTACAAATCTGAAGGTTAGGGGATCGAATCCTTTTTAGAAAACTATTTTGGTACATTTTGATAGACTTTTCATTGGTGTTTCATCGCTGAAAATACGTCAAATTAGCAATAATTTATCAATAAAATTTGCTATTTTGGCAATGAAGATCGATAATTCATCGATGGGGATTGCTGTTTTTTTTTCACTTTCTTATCGCTAATTTTCAATGTGAGCTCAATCCGGGCCTGCATCTAGTTGACTGGGGGAGCTCCGGAAATTTCGCATCTTGGAATCTTGCTCTGCTAGTTGCCAAGGTGCGCAGTATCAAATTGATCAACAGGTAAACTAAACGTCTCTTATTAGCACTTTTTAGCTTGCCCAGTTGTTGATAATTTTTTTCACAGTTTTGCCATCACGGTTCAAAGCTCTTGTAATTTCCAAATTCTATAATACATTTTACATGGCCAGAAATAATGTGATCTTCTATTCCCTCCTTTGTCAAAACACACTTTTGGCCCATGTCAATAACAAAAGCAACAGAAAGAGAGATTGATTCAAGTTATCCTAAAACGATGGAACAGTTGAAACGAACTCAGCTATGGACGTGTCAAAACACACACAAAAAAATTTTCTTCATAAAAATTTCACGAGGAACTGACGCGTAAACTTCAATCATTCAAAAAAGCATAAGGTGCGACTTCAAGGTGAATATTTTTCTCTACAAAACATTCTAAAATTAATATTTGATCTCCTGTAACTAAAGAAAGACACTATTTTTAATAATCAAACAACAAAAAACTTTGTATGCGCGTATGAATAGTAAGACTCTAAAGTAAATATTTTACTTTCTGGTAATTTAGTCTAGGTTTGTTTCATGATTATTAAATAAAACTAGACATACAATCTTTCAAATTGAAGCAATACAATTTTTTGCAATACAACCTTCCAAATTCAAGCTTTTTCAACAACCTAAAATTCCAGGCACTTTGAAATAGAAAAACTGAGATGTAATTTGGACTTTCATCGGCTCTCTTAACGCGCCTTGGGATGATTTTACTGAATTTTTATTTTTGAAGGTATTTCTGAAGTACACGATTCTACTAAATTACTTTGGTCTTCGATGTTGCAGTTGGTATCGCGTGAGACTGTGACAGATGCTTATTTTTTCTTCGGGGTCGAACTTTCTCACACTTTTGTACATTTTTGTCATAGACAGCAATTACACTCCCACACCGCCATGTATTGTATA